GTAATTATAGTTATAAAGAATTCAAATAATAATATTCGAAAAATAAATAAACAAGCACTTCATATCAAACATAATTCAAAGAATTATGACCCATATGCCTCCTAACCAACATAATTTTAAGAATTTTTAGAATATAATGTGTATATAGTAACATAATATGCTTGTAAGAACCAGAGTATAACTACTTCCACCCATATCAGATTTTCTCAAAATCACTTATTTTAACCAATTAAAGATGTAATTTATTGTATTGTAATAATTAAAACATACATAAAGTCATTCTAGAATTTCACAAAATGCTATAATGGTAGTCAACTAAATGTACTCGTGAGTAGAAAAGTATTTTTCAGAATATAACAAAATTATTAAAGATTGTGTAAAATATTATTTTAAGACTTTAATTGTACTACAATATTATTTTTCAGCATTAGGATTATTTTTAATTAATTAAAAGAACAAATTCTCAAAATTTCTGGTATAAATTTATAAAAAATTATCTAAATATTTAGAATCTTAGTCTTTATAACATACATAAAGTTATATAGTGAAAGGTTTGTATATAACGAGTTATCCCCATTTTTTTACTATAAAAATATAAATTAAAGAAATATGCTATGTAAAGATTTTAGCTTTTAATGATTTATATAATAGATTAGTTACTAACTTGAATCCGACGGTATTAAGGTGCAAGCCTGCCGGAGCAACCGTGTGGAATCCCCCTCCACACTCCCTTGAGTCCCCCCTCGCAGGATCTTCTCCCTCTCTCAATCTCCACCCTTTCCTTATTTCCTTTCAAGCTCTCACTTCAAGTTTCACCCAAAAGAACGAAGCTACAATGGCTGCCAAAGACACTTACCAAGTGTCATGTCATAGCTTAAATAGAAGATCTCAAAATGAGCTTATTAATGCAAGTTGCCGACTTTATCGTTTAGGACGATACTAATATCATCCTATACGATCCGTGCAAAATAAGCCCAATCAGCCAGGACGATTTGAGACGATCAGAAGAAGTTTGTTCATATCGTCCAGGATGATAATATATCGTCCTGGATGATCAGAATAAACCGTGGAATATCATTCTGAACATCGCCCTTAAAAATAGCTGTCTGATGTCCAATCGTCCAGCGTATCGGCCTGAACGATTTTGCGATCGTCCAGGAAGATTTGATCGTGCAATCAAGTCATAATTTCTTTCCTTAAATTCTAGAAAAATTTTGGAAAAATTGTCCTTGATCGTCCTGGACGATCCACCTGGACGATGTCCAAAAATAAGTAATTCCTAAATAGATCTGACAGCAGATTCTTTCTGTTTTGAGCCTATCGTCCTGGCCGATACAAAATCGTCAAGGATGATGTTTTTTGCATAATGACTGTTGCTTTAATGAGGATGCCCTAATTAGGGTTTCTACTTTTGAACTGATCGTCCAAGACGATATAAAATCGTCCTGGATGATGTTACAAAAAACAGTAAACTCTAGGGAATAGTCAGAAATCTTCCAAGTTATAAAGCATCAGGAGCCACACCAAATACAATAGACTCAAGAAAGGAAAAAGGGTACAAACTGACTCAGACACAGTCTACCCAATCTTGAGCTGGTTCCAAATTGCAGCCTGATCGTGTGGACCTGAAATGTCAGTAGACAAGGCAGTCGTAGAGAAATAAGAGTGTTTGCTATCATCAAAATCATAAACCATGAAAACAGATCCGCAATATTATGGAGGTCAACCTTAGAGTCTAAAGGTTTTCGTTTGAGTAGTAATAATAGATCTAGTGACGAGATTGTGGCTTTGGGCAATCAAGTCATTAATAAGTGTACATGTTTTAGATATCTCGGGTCTATTGTTCAGAGTGATGATGAAATAGATAGAGATATTATTAGTAGAATTCAAGTTGGATGGTCGAAGTTAAGGATTGCCTCGGGCTTATTATGTGATAGAAAATTCCCCCTCAAGCTTAAGGGAAAATTTTATGAGATGGCGGAAAGACCTGCAATGATTTATGGTACAAACTGTTGGCTATTAAAACAGAAGCATAATATTAAGTTAAGTGTTGTAGAGATGAGAATGCTCAGGTGGATGAGTGACTTTATTTAGTTGGCTATAATGGTTTGATTTGGAAATTAGCTAAATAAATTGGATTCATTAAATATTGAAACCAACCACACAATTTTTTCATATTGAACTAAGGCTTCATTTGATTCTAAAGCAGTTTTTTTGTACAAAAAAATTTGAAATAAAATTTTTTGTAATGTAAAACTTATTTAGAAAGCATTAAGAAAGCCGCCCCAAATGAAGCTTTAATATGGTCAACTCAATATAATATTGGATGACCAACTTGCACTAAACATGATTAAATATTTGCTAAAAATACCAATTATTTTTAGATTAAATATTGCCTTTTGAGAAAAAAAATACCAATTAATATTTCCTAAAAATGTAACTTCAATATGTGAAACAAATAATATCCAAGTTGATCTTTTTTATATTTTTGTATTTATAAATTATAATTTTTATTAATGAATATTAAAAAAATTAATATAATTCAATTTTTAGTTCTATCTCTTTAATTTACAAAATAAAAATCAAAACTTTTGAATCAATAATTGTCCCTGAACCACATCAAATTAGACTAAGAATACTAAGTGAAAAAAGAGGTATAGAGAGATGAAAAGAGAGATTTTTGAAGTGAGAACTTCAGGAACTTCTATAAAAAAAACTTAAGAACAAAAAATTACATAAATTTAGATAATCTCATGACCCCCTATTTATAGATTTAAAATGAGACTTGAGCACTATTGAATTAACTATGATACCATACAAAAAATCGCCTTGATTGAGCACGAATCTTGAAGCACATTTCAGTTGGCAACTTTCATATTAAATTCAACATCATTCCAACTTCGATTTCAGCAAATTTAACCTCTTATCGTTCGGTTCGTTTATGGTTACGAACAATATCATTTAAATCTTGTGAATAAGTTCGTTAAGAAGCTCGAGTACAGCTCAATTAAGGGAAGCATTCGTTCGGCTCAAATTAGCTTGAAAAAATAAATAATTTTAAGAATAAATATTATAAATTATTTTAACTAATTTAATAATGATTTTTAAATAAATACTTAATTTTTCTGCTCCCGTTTTACTTTCATGCTTTATGTTTTTTTTAAATAATAAAAATGAAAAGCTTCTCTCTTTCTCTCTCTCTTCCCGTTTAGTCTTCCCAGTTCCCGTTTTTTTATTTCCCGCAGCCCGCCTCAACGCCTCTCCATTTTCTCTCCACTCCGTGAGAACACATGGGTATTGAGAAACTTGGATTTGCTCTATATAAGTAAAAAAACAAAAGGAAAATTTGAAATTCTCCTCGAGCTGGTTGCATACAACCTGAAAGCAGGTGACAACAAGATAGCTTTGTTTTATTTTGGCAGGCTCGAGCTTGAACAAAGATAAAAAAAATGTTCGAATCTTATCGAGCCGAGCTCGAACATGATTTGGAAAACGAGCTCGAATTTGAACATGTTGAAGCCCGATTTGGCTTGGTTCGTTTGCGGCCCTAGTAAATACATGTATTTTTGGACTAAGAGTGCTTCTACATCCAAAAATTGGAGGGCAATTGAACCGTTACAACAAAATGTCTTTGATTGAGCACAAATCTTGAAGCACATTCAAGTTGGCAATTTTTAAAATTAAATTCAAGACCACTTGAACTTTGATTTTAGCAAACTTATAATAAAATTGAGCATCTCAAGAAGACAAACTCAACAACACCAAAATTGTTCTAATCTCATCCTAAATGGCTCTAAATCAAGGGTCCAAAGTATATTAAAAAGTTCATAGCATTAATTCAGTGAATCAATAATCTTTATGCATGGCATGCTTATAATTGAATAGAGCGGCTCAACAAGATAAATCAAACGAACCCAAGATCTAGATCAATTAATTTTAACATTATTAAGGCACTTAAATGCTTGAAGAATGCTTCATGATCAAGGGAATCAGCATGTGTCATCCGAGGGAGCACTATGAATTTACCTTGAATTTTCTTCATATCTATAAAGTGCGCCACTCTCAAAATATATAAATAAACCCTCACTCTCTATATAAGGGGGTATTTTGCTGGAGATTAGAGAAAGCTACGAGACTTTGAGGATCTAGAGCTCCACCCAAGCGTCACTACGGGCGAACTACAGTCAGTCTATTAATTGGACCACCACACGACTGCCCTGCCATCATCAAACCTTCGCCCATGTGCCCAACCACAATCAAACCCCTGTCCTACTACCAACAGCCGATGAAGCATCGTCTGACCGCCAACCGCCAACTGCCATTAGATCTTCGCTTAATTACTAACCACCGTCAAATCTCCACCCAGCCGCCAACACCTGTTGGATCTTATCCCAAACATTGCTACTAGACTCCTGACTTCCGTTGTTTGACCAATGTTGACACAAACTCTTGATTACTTTTATGAAGTTTGACTAGCTCTTCAAATTATTATAATTTCACTGTCTCCAAATTAAGGGACAAGTCAAGCTTTATAACTCACTTAAGTATAATTGAATCCTTTCACCTGGACAAGACCACGTGATTTTTTCTATTTTTTAGTTTTCCACGTAAAAAAGTTATTATATTTTCTCGCTCTCTCAACTATATATTTATATACTAAATAGCCGTACATCTCTAGAACGAAACATTCTCTAATTTCTAAATCAAACCATCATAGCCAACTAAATACATACCATTAGGCACTAGGTTGGTTAGCCTAAGACAACTCAATAAAGTATATGACTACTTGATTTATTACTACAAGTCATATAACAATTCTCTTTATCTCATGTTAACAAATATATTTCCAAAGACTCCAACATGCCTTGAGATTTATGTGGCTTCAATTAATTTTAGTATGATTGTCCCATTTTTGTCTTTTTGTAAAAGCCCTCAGGTCCTTTGTGAGGAAGAGCGTCACCACAAACTTCACATGCTCCCGATTCATATACTAATCTCTCTCTAAATATATATTAGCTGGAGCTTCATGATTTGCTATGGTGCTTGTTTAATAGATTTGTTTTTTAATTTATTTCCTTCTCTTACCGCCTTTTCGCCTTTCGGTGGCGCTGCCCTCGCAGTTCGAGGATTCCAGTACGTCATTGATCGAGCTTCTAGGGTTTTGTTCGATCGAACCTGCGCTGTCTCCTGCCGCTAATCTCGCGTTCGCTTTCGAGGTTGTCGCTCGCTCGTGGTAATTCCATTGGAGTCAGGTTATAACCGTCTAAAAAATTATTGTTTTTTCTCGTGGTCTTTCTACTTTTCCCAATTTTTTTTTTGGGGACGTGCGAACAATTTCTTCTCTATTCTATTTTATTAATTATGGGGCGGAAAGGGCGATATTCCTGCATTTGATTGCCGCGTTGTTCTTTGGTCTTGGGTCTGATCTGTTCATCTACTTTTCTTCATCCCTCCCGTCTTATTCCGGTGCATCTGGTTCTGTGTTCTTCTGTTCATCCGGAGCATGCGGCTGATACCTGCTGTTAAGGTTCGACCGCCATTGATTTTGTGGTTGTGATCTTACGACCGCCCCAGAGGTGTTTGGACACTAGAGCTAGATCAGCTTGAACGAGATTAGAGCTAATTGGTTTGAGAATTTTTTTACCTTTATTTGTTCTGGTTAGATTGAGCAATTTCTTTATTTTCTGTGCTTCCTTTCTGCTGAGCCCTAACATCGGGGAGTATGGTGCTGCTTGTGATTTTAAAAAATTGATGCTGGAATGGTTGGATCTGGATGCGTTTTTTATTTTTAGTTGTTAATAATTGCCTCGTGACAATTATATTAATTGTTATCTTCCATCTATGATCTTCTATCCCGTGGTTTACATCTCATGTTAGAAGCTGTTTCAGGTGCTTTTTTCACACGCATTCCTATATTGATATTAGAGTTTGTAGTCACCTCTACTATTCTTTTCACCATCTCTACTATTCTTATCACAGCCGTATTTCTTTATTTGTCCGTTTGTGCTGTTCGCTTTGTAAGCAGCCTTGCTTCTGATGTTATCTCTTCTTTTCCTTAATAAGATATCTTTTTAATGAACATCATCAATCAGGAGCTATTTTCAATTTTATAATCTCGTGTTCTACCTATGCTTTCCTTTAGACATTTCACAGATGCTTTTAGGTCTTTTATGAGTGATCATCACCTTCAGTAATAACATTACATTTCAGTTATGATGGAGGTGATTAGCGACATGTTTAGTTAGATTTTGATGTAATACTGAAGCTTGATGCTTATAAATTTCTTACTTCCTACTATGAAAGTCATGTGCTAAGAAAAGTAGAGCCTATGATGCACAGATATAGGCATGGCGACATAAACACGATATGGACATAGGACACGTTAATTATTGAAAATATATGACATGAATAAAGGGTTGCACAATATGATAATTTTTATATCTTAAAAAAAATGTATAGAAATTGAATAAATAGAATATTAAGTGTAATTGAGAAATAATAAATCATTTCGTGCTTAAAATTAATATTAAGATGTTATGAATCAAGCGTCGATATTCTGTGTCAAGCATCGAGAGGGAAAACGTCAATGCAGTTAAGAGCCAGGCATGAAAATTATGGGCATAGAGCATTAATGCTGAGACGGTCGATCATTGAGGTTGATTTGAAGTTGGACAGAGTTGAGATATCGAGACAATGTTGGGGCATTATTGTGGGTATATAAATTACTATTGTCGAGCATTAATGTCAGAACAATGTCAAACTTTGATGTTGAGATGGTTTTGAAATGTTGATGTTATAATGGTGTTGGACATTGATGTGAGATAGCATTGAAATTGTCATGAAGCCTTAGTTGTGACCTGCTAGAGAGAAATGGAAATGAGAATGTTGGGGGAATGAGGCATTCATTAAATGCAAGTGATTGATTTGGGGTTGTGGGGACAACACAACAACAACAAACCTTTATCCCAATACGTGGGGTTGGCTACATGAATCCTTTTTCACTAATGTGTCCTATTACGAGTCAAAATTCTCATTCTAATATTTTCTAACCAAGTCTTTTTAGCCTTAACTCTACCTTTCTTTACATAAGACAAATTTAATACATCTACTCTTCTAACCGGGTCATCAGAAGGCTGTCGTTTTATGTGACCAAACCATCTAAGTCGGCTCTCTCTAATCTTATCTACCACTGGAGCTACTCCAATCTTTTCACGTATATGCCTGTTTCATATCCTATCTCTAAGAGTAAAGCCACTCATCCACCTAAGCATCCTCATCTCTGTAACACTTAACTTAATATTATGCTTCTCTTTTGATGGCCAACATTCTATGCCATAAAGCATTACAGGTCTCACCACCATCTTATATAATTTTCCCTTAAGTTTGAGGGGTTTTTTTTTCTATATCACAACAAGCCCAATGCATTCATCCACGTTAACCATCCAACTTGAATTCTACTAATAATATGCCCCATCTATTTGACCATCACTCTGAATAATAGAACTAAGATATCTAAATCATTTACTCTTGTTAATGACTTCGACCAAAATCACAATCTCGCCACTGGATATATTACTAAAATTATACTCCATGCATTCAATTTTAGATCCATTTAAACGAAAATCTTTAGACTTTTATGTTGTCCTCCATAATTCAAGTTTACCTTCAACTCATTCTCTAGTCTTATCAACAATAAAATATCATCACCAAAAGTATACACTAGGGTACATCCTCTTGCAAATGTCTAGTAAGAACATCCATGACTAAAGCAAAAAAAATTGGGCTTAAGGCTGATCCTTGATGTAATCCAACTGAAATAAGAAAATACTTTGTCAAATCATCTTGTGTTTGCACACAAGTAACAACTCATGCATGCATATTTTTAATGACTTGAATATAAGCATTATTAACTCTTTTTTTTAGAACTCTCCATGGCACTTCTCTTGAAACTTTATCACATGCTTTTTCTAAATCAATAAATATCATATGTAGATCCTCCTTATCCTCTCTATACTTCTCCATCAAGCCTCTCAATAAATGTATAGCTTCCATAGTAGACTTACTTGGCATGAATTCAAATTGATTTTGAGAAACATTATTATCACATCATAACGTATGCTTCATAATTCTCTCCCATAGTTTTAAAGTATGACACATTAACTTAATTCCTCTATAATTCACACAATCTTGTGCATCACACTTTTTCTTAAAAATAGAAATCAACATACTCATTCTCCACTTATATGACATTTTTTTAATCTTCAAATAATATTAAAAAGTTTAGTAAGCTAAGAAATTTCTTCATCCTCTAGGCATTTTCACACCTCTATTAGAATATTATCAGATCTAATAGCTTTTTTACACTTCATTTTCTTTGAAGCATCTCTAACTTCATTTTTATTAATACGCCTAAAAATATCTATTTTCATATAGGTTGTTAATGTCACTAAAATCAATCATATTCTCACAATCTGCATTGAAAAACTTAGCAAAATATCTCATCCACCTTCATTGAATATCCTTTTCTAATAAAAATACTTGTTGACGTTCATCATTAATTCACTTCACTTGAACTAAATTCTTACCACTTATATCACTTTCTTTGGCTAACATATATATATATATATATACATATCTTTTGTCATCCTTAATATATAATCTATTATATAAATCTTTGTTTAAATTGCACAATAAGAGGTGCGCCTTAAGGCGCGCCTCTGCGTAATTTGCCTCAAATACGCCTTGAGGCTTACGCAATTTTCCCCTTGGCAGAGGCGTACGCCCCACCGGATCTGAGACGCGCCTCTAAGGCGCAATTGCGCAATTAGAGGTGAGGCGTACGCCTCATCAAATCCGGTCCCACCTACTTAAAATGAAGTCTTTTTTTCCTTCCTCCCATTCGGTTCTAGCTAAACCCGAAAAAAAATCTCCTGCATTCTCTATTCGCGAACGTGACCGCCTCCTGCACGCTCGGCCTCCCTTCTCGTCGCCTCTCCCGCCGGTGCCGCCTCACTTCGGCGAACTTGAAGTGTCCGGATGCCCTCTGGAAGCAATGTTTACATCAACAGAATGACTTAACTTTGCGTGGGGGAAGAAAAGTGAGGGGAAGAAAATAAGAAAAATAAATCTAAATGATAAATTTTGGACTACTGTGACCTATGTCATATTGAGCATGAGACTCTTAGTGCAAGTTCTACGTTTAGTGGATGCCGAGAAGAAACCAGCCATGAGTTTTATTTATAATGCTATGGATGAGGCCAAGGAGTTGATTGCACACAACTTGGGAGGAGTGGAGGCAAGTTATAGAGAAATTTGGGATATCATTGATGCTCGGTGGGAGGTACAGTTACACCATCATCTACATGCAGCGGCATATTATCTCAATCCTCAATTTTAATATTCAGAGAGGAAATCTTCAAACCTAGAGGTGAAGCTTGGTCTGTATCATTGCATGGAACGACTAATACCGGAGCAGATAGATAAGGAGCTTGCAAATTTACAACTTGTTCTATTTCAGAATAAAGAGGGTTTTTTTGGTCTGCATGCAGCAAAATCAACGATTGCTAAATGGTCTCCAAGTATAGCTATTTTAGTAAATGCAAAACACTTTATTAAGTTCTGATTATCATTTTTATTCTTGAAAACAGTTGAATGATGGATCCAATTTGGTGATTTCACCCCTGAGTTACAGAGTTTTGCTGTAAGAGTTTTAGGCCTCATTTGTTCTTCTTCTGGGTATGAGCGAAACTGGAGTTCATATAGTCAAGTACAAACAAAGAGAAGAAATTGGCTATCAACACTCAGAATGAACTCCCTTGTATATATTATGCACAACAAGAGATTAAGAGATAGGAGGTTGAGGAATAAGGTGTTGAAGGATAATGAGGACCCGTTGGTGTGTGATGATGTGTCATCTGATAATGAGTGGTTCATAGATGATAAGATAAATTTGTCATTATCAGA